TTACTGACAGATAGATTTAGGGGGGTGTGCAGGGCACCACTGCACCCTCTTCTGAGGGTTATCAGTAAAAATTAAGGCATATCGTTTCCGTTTTTCACTCCTCCAAAAACTTCTGGATACGCTATTGATTATTGAGGATAATAGAATAATACTACAGCTATGGAAAGAGCCTTACATTAATTACGTGTACAGTTTTTGATTCACTTTTGACCCCTCCTTTTAGTTACGTGTAATAGTTTGTAACTTTCCTGACATTGAATAAATGACTAAAAAGTTCTACAAATGTATTCTAACTGATAGTTTATTCATACAACTAGTATAGGCTCGTATGCTACTAAAAATCCACAATGCCTCCACCCCTCTCAAACTGCATACGTTAATTAATGGACTTCACCAAATTTTTGCCTATACGAGCAAATTTAAATTTAGCGAGCTTATTGGTATACTGGAAGTTTTCAGCTCACAAAAATCGGTTCTGAAGAATTCAAATTTAAATTCGAATTTTTAAAAAATGAGCCAATAATGATAACTGTAGTACCATATCCGCCATCTGTTGGCTATTATATGAAATAAAACTATTAAATCCAGTTTATTTTGATTCTTTCCTGATAAAATATTCTTTTAAATGTTGTTTATAAATTCTCATTACAAGAATTTTTTTGCCTTTTCGTCCCTAATTTTAATTTGGTAATTTTAGCTTAAGGTTTGCTTCATTAAGGTATAAGTTACTCTAATGCTGTTACCATCAACATGATAGTAAAGTGACGCTATATTTAACAAGAATTTTATATAGAAAAATTCGTGTTTATATATATTTTTCTATAAAATTTTTATCAAAATAAATTTGATTTTAAAAACTATCAATATAACAATTGAAATTTGGAACAATTTAAACGAAGTTTCTGCACGACCAAGTACGAAGCATAACCAGAGAAACAGGGCTCTGGGCCCCTTACCTTTCTAGATGAAAAATAAAATAATAAAAATCAGAAAAAGATTTAAATGAGACAAATACACTCATACAACATTTAAAAATCTAAGGGTTTATTCTTTATTCACAGTACATGAGTGAGTGTAGATTTGCACGTTCTAATTTGGCCCTCCCCATTCGGCTCTTAATTCATTGTACTGTACGTGGGTGAATGCAGGTTTGCACGTTCTAATTCGTCCCCCCTATTATCAGTTCTACTTAATCTACTGTTAGCGACGCATCGCTAAGTAAATTGACTAAGTTTTATTCTTCATACTTTCTGATATATATATCAGAAAGTTTTATTCGGGCGTAGTATGAAGAATAAAACTTAGTAGAATAAAACTTAAAATATAGAAATATATATATATCAAAATATTGTAGAAAAGTCATATTTTTCACAGAAAGTATATATCTTTATGAGAAAATTTTGAAGTTTCGCGTAGAGATCGGCAGCAACACGAAGAGAATTATTGATTACAATATATCATAAATGATTTTTCCGGCAGAGTTGATATCTTTTTTCTTCAGCCACAAGGGAATATATATATATATATATATAACAGAACGTTTTTCTAAAAACAAGTTTTACAATTATGGTCGAACCTCTAATAATGGCCACTTCCTAACAACGTCCACTTCTAAACGGCGGCCATTTTTTGAGAACGATGAATAAAAACGCATACAAAATAACCTCCAAACAACGGCCACATTTTAATGTTTCCATCAGTATCCGCTGTTCAGAGGTTTGACTGTATTTTGATATTTAATTGCCATAAAAAAAAACAGTAAAAATATATACCTAACTTTTTTACTTCGATATCAGTTTGATTATTTATTAATTTTAGAAAAATAGTGATTGCATACTGTAAAATAATTATAAAATTTATATTTTTAATGTAAATAATAACCTAAAGCTCACATTTTGCTTTCATGCCAGACGTGTTTGAAAATGTTTCACGAAAAATCCATAAAATAATCTTTAAATAACATTTTTCTTATTAAAAAATGATAAAAATATAGTCTAATATTTTTTCTACATTTTATATTAATTAAAAAGTGTGCTGTTTTAGTATTTAATCTCTTAATGTTTTCATACAAGCTCACTCTTTTAAGGTAATTATTTTTAATTTATTAATTTTTAAAATAAAACGTAATAAAAACATAATTAATTATGAATTATTCACGGGATCAGATTTAAAAAACAATTAAATTTACTCCGAAAAACTGGAAAATGAGTCGTTTAATCACAAGTCTCACGGCCAACGAGATTTGTACGATTCAAGATGGCGCCCACAATCGAGACGACATTGACGAATGCTGTGAAAACTCGCTGTTGAATTCGCAGTAAAACTTAAACCGAATAAAGTCACATAATAACGTATTTCTGGATGCATTGAAAGGGTAATATATTCTTGATCATATGCCTGATTACATAACCAATAACTGATCCAGAAATCTCAAGAGAGGGATGCAGAAAGGAAATAATATGCCTTCCAAATTTTTTACTACCCGAAATATCCGGATTTACTGGAAAAACCCCCGTATAAGGGGATGCAGATAAGTCCTGCACCCCCCAAACCCGCTCCTAGAGATAAATATGTCGTCGGATCGTTTTCGTTGTAAATTACTAGAGAAGCTTTTTTATTTATTTATTTTTTTAATAAATTGGTCCCTCGGAGAGCAAACGTCTTTTATAACGGATTTTATATCTTTTCCTTATTGTTTTGCCGAAGTACAGCTAATTATATAATTATAATTTAATTAATAATTAAGCATATTTGTCCATTTACATTCATGGACTTTAATTTTGAGTTGTATATTAAGAAGAATTTTAAAATAGCCAAACCGTTAATAACGTCCATCTCTAAATAGCGGCTATTTTTTCGGAGATTTTATTTAATTTTTTTAACAGAAATTCATATGAAATGACCTCCAAACAACGGCCATTTTTTAAATGTTTGTTAGTGTCCGTTGTTCAGAGGTTTGATTATATTTATCGATTATTTTTATATTATGAAATTATTAATTAGTAAAGAAATGAATATTAATAATCATTTTAAAAATAAAAGAAGAATAATTATCAGTTCAAACGGATAAAAATTCCTTAGAAGTTCTTTAATTTTTTCTACATTTTTTAAAAATAATTTAATTGTTATTGGATTTATTATATTCTATTCTAAAGAATAAATTGCATAAGGAAGCAACAGAATTATTATTACTTTTTTTTTGTTATAAAGTTCATTTCTGTGAGGATAATTCCCGATCAACCCTATGATATGAATGAGTTACATGAAAACACAGAAGCACGTGACGAGTCTGTATTGTTTCTAATTGGTTTTCAATTGTTAGAAAACGACATATGGTGTTTTTATTCGCCGCTACGAGGCCGGAAAAAGATTTGAAACGTGCACCAATTCTGTCTGAATGAAAGGAATTGTATAATAGAGAAGAAAAAAAAACTGTAACTGGATCCAAATATTATTAAGTTAAGCTTAAAATTACAACGTGATTTATCCATAAATTTAATTCTAAAATTCTCACGAGAACGTCCTCTGTTTGTATATAAAGTATTCAATCAATTGTTTATACATTTTATAAAATTGACCTATTTATAGAAGTCCTATATGATAATGAAGCGTACGAACAATTTTTCAATTTCACAATTCAAATTTAAATCGGCCAATGATAAATAAAAGGGTTACGTATGACTCACGGGATATTTTTTTTTTTCAATCTACTGACGTTCCATATTGAATGTTCTGTAAATTCTAGAATATTTTATCTGTTTCTTAAGTAAATTTATGCGTTTATCGATCACTCGAGCCGGAATCTAATCGATTTGGTGGAGTTATCCTTATAAGCGTGAACCACATCACGTAGGCATTTTAAATGTTCTTTTCCTTGAAAGGTTTTTTGTAGATAATACCATTTCTACGTTAAGCTTCGCAGTGAAAATGATTGTTAACTTGTAAAGCTCTTGAGTTATTGTCGAGTTTTTTCACGTCACGTATTACGTACCAATGCAATCAAATTCTAAATCGTATAAAGAAAATCTATAATTTATTTGATTAATTTGATTAAAATACCAACTAAAATGTGCCAGATTTATATGAAGGAATTCCGTACGGCCCGGGGCCTTCATATAAAGAAATGCAGTAAGCTGTATTTATACTGTTTAAATTTAAAGTAGAAAATGCTATTTCTTTACAGATTTTTCTGATATTTTATATATAATTATATAATTTTTTTTATTAAATTTATAGCATTTAGTTTTTATTTGCTCGAGCTCTAGTCGATACAAGAGGCAAATAATGCCCACATAAATAAACCCGTCCCTGTATCTAAAACATTAAAACTATTTTAATATTTTTATTAAAAGAATTAAAATAAAATAAAATGGATTAATTATCTCAAGATAAATATATATTTTATGATTTATGGCTTTATAACGGTTAAAATATTAAAAGAATAATAAACATAAACCCAATATTTTTTTCCAAGATTTATTGTTTAATTGCTATAAATAAAACATAAAATACATTGGTACATAATTATTTTGGGATGAAGTCTGTACTGAGATTTTATTTATAGATTTAAGTGCATTTAATATGCATTAAAGCAAAAATTATAATTCCAAATAAATGACCTTCAATGCAAAAATCAAGTTCAATGGCTTTAGAGTATGACAAGTGTAGTTAGTTACCTATTTATAAGTTTTAAACTGTACCAGTTTAAGTTCACGAGCATAAAAAAAAATTGTTCATTTAAATACATCTCGACTGTATTTTTTTGTTAATAAATATAAAAATTTATTAAGCTTATAATTATTTTTAAAAATTAAAAAAAAAGGATTCTTACAACATTTTTCACTGTAAAAATATAGATTCACATGTGTAACATATCTATATAATTTAGGCATTGCTATATACAAAATGCTAAGAACTGACACGTAAAGTAATTACACGAATAATGACCGTAATGTATATTTACAATAGATTTTTTTATAGGTATAGTCTGGGATTTTCTTTTACTCATCATTGGCTCTTTTCAGGTTGTCTCCATATTCAGATGGTTCGTAGTCACTGCTGGAAAATGATCTAGAAAGATTTTTGGGAGTTAAAATTGGCATTTTATACAGAAAATAGAATTAGAAACTTACTGTGTATTAGAAGCTAAAGGGAAGTCTCCACCAGTATATTCTCCACTGTCGAAATTATCTGTATTAAAATTGCTGACTGATACTGGGGAATTCAGAGTTTCTGATGATAGATGACCAAAGCCACCGGGACCAAAAGATCCACCAGAACCAAAAGATCCACCAGAAGCAAATGATCCACCGAATCCAGAAGGTGCCAAAGAACTGACAAAACCTGGGGGAACGCCGAAACTTGGACCACCAAACCCAATAGGTCCTCCGATTCCGGGTGGTCCGAAAGCACGAACGGGTGCTCCGAACGATCCAGCTGGAATTGGACCTGAAAATCCACCAGGAAATCCAAATCCACTGGGTCTAAATGGTAATCCGTAAGGAGAAGGTCCACCTCCTCCTCTGTTGAAACCCAGAATGCTTCCTAGTGTACTTATTCCCAAAGGACTTATCTGCGAATTAACTTGAGATGCTAGAAGCAAGCACGCAAGGACGAATATCTTCATTGTTGTATAGTAGAGTTTTCTGTCAAGAGAAAAGAAATTTTGCTTAATGAATGATTTCAAGCAAATGTAAAAATATAAATGATATATTTACCAGAGGAACGAAGAGAGACGAGTGCTCAGTGAATGATAGAGGAAAGAATAAAGTAACCTCTATTATCACGGATCCTTATATGTGTGATGAGGGGAGCGACAAAAATCTAGAGCAAGTTGGTGGGTCGTTGAGTTGTGTGACCTTATTGCTGTTATTTTCATCTTGGGGGTTGTCTGTTCCTCGTTTAGTCATCGCATGAGTCTTGGACATCTTTACATATCGTGATTACACTTTACTGTCATTGCTCCAAGAGAAAGGGGTGAATAATCCGATAACTGTAAAATTTCTCGTAGAGATTAATTTCCTCTTTCTTTATCTGTTAATATTATTAAATTTTCTTATCGGATGTGGTTTCATTATTTTTATTATTTATATAAAAATTCCTCGATAAGTAGTGAAAGACAGTTTTAGGTAAAGGCTAATCAAGTGTAACGATTAATCAACTTAATTAGTACATAAAAATGTCAATGTCCGTCCTGTTTCAAGTGCAGATGGAAGTTTTATAATTAAAATGTTACGAAAAAGTTATCTATAATTTAAATTGTTTTTTTATATCGGCTGATAAGATTTATACATTTTTATTTTACAATTTAACCACTTTTTCTCGTTACAGTTGATATCCTGAAGGTGGAAGAAATCCAGTTTAAGCTTGGTTAAAATGCCCATTGTTTACACTGCAACGATCTAGAAGATTTAACGTGACAATGCTGAAAGGATATACAATATTATCTAGCTTAATACATCCCATTCATTGATTCGTTAATATATCAGTTAATATTTTCTGGCGCATTTTAGCAATGGTTATGCATTTTGACCTGAAATTTAGCAATTGCAAGGTCACTGGAACGTCTAAAGTAGTTCACCTGAGATTCACTCCAGGGTCTGTTCTGAAGTTTTGAGTTCATCAACCTTCACACTCGTTACAAGACTTTATTTATGGATATTCTTTTATTTTGAATTTTGAAAGGGGCAGTTTTATGCATGTGGGTAGTGTGTAAACAGAATTATTTTCATTAATGACTTTATTTTGAGAGGCTGTTTCTCCTTTATAGAATATACAGGAAAGTTTTCTAATTTTTTTTTTTTTCTCTTTTACCTAAATCATAACGAGAGCATGTGGAAATCCCAGACTTAATGTACTCACTTACCATTTCAAGAATGAAAATATCATTACCAAACTAGGAAATATCGTTCTTTTATTGTTTAGGATGTGTAACCATCTGTAAATAAAATTATTTTTGGATATTTATTATACGGAAAATACGGCCAAAATATACATTTATTTTAATTAAGTTTCTTCTCCTATTTATACTATTTTTATACATTTAACTACTTAATTATAATAACAATAAAGTCACGTCTTTTTCCAAGTCGTAAACGTAATTAATTGTTATAATTTTAAATACACAGTGCTAAATTAATAAGAGAAAATCCTTCGTAGTAAATGTACAACTATTAAAGGTAGAAAAATTATATTTTTATTACTTTTTAAATAAAATTTTAAGATAAAACACTAGAATATTTGTCATTTTAATTAAAAAATATGTTTTTAAATGCTTTAATTAGGAAAAATCGATTAAAAAGTCGAGAATTGAGATAACAGGTCTATGTCCTTTCTACGAGGAATAACTCATATTTATTCGTGTTTTATCTATATTATGGATAAGATGTCATCAAAATTATCCTTAAAATTAAAAATTGTATAGATTTTAAATGATCATTTGATACATAATTTACGAAAAATGCGGAAATTAATTGAAGAATGTTTTCTTTGTTGAAATCAAACGACCTTGATATCCAGTAAAGACTAAAGATTTGATTTCAAGATTGCAATACGCCTTTAAGAATATAATATTCTATAATATTATTAAATATTTAGGTCATTCTTTATATATATAGGCCTAATATATTGACTATTAAATATTATTATTAATTCATTTTTACTTTTTTACTTTTAAATCTCTTTTATTATTACTGTAGAAATTTTCATTAAGGCAAGAATTATATAAATTAATTTAATAAGTTTTTGAAATTTTTGGGATTTTTTATTTTTAATGTTAAAATATATATATATATTAGTATAATTAGATTCATGAATTAATGATTTTTAACGGTTTAATGGATTCCCGTTTTGCTGGAGGCATGTGTTCTGTAATGTAAATTATGTTTAAATTTCCTTCGGCTACAATTTTGCAAATAAATTCTGTAGAATTTGCATATTTTTCTGGTTTTAATTCTAAATTTTCGCTATAATATTTTTCCTTTTATAAATATTATTTCAAAAATGAAAAATAATCAGATAATTCTCTGAAAATTGTATATTTTTCCATTGCAATTTTGAAATATTTAACGATAAAATCTAGGATATTAGCGAATTGATTAGTCTAAATATTTTTTATAATTTTATAGAAAATTAAAATATTTTATTATTATTATTAACATCATCATCATCAGTGCCTGATTTCCTACTAGTCACACGAGCACGAGGGGTCCCCCGGTCTCAGAGGCCCTAAAATTGGAAAAAATAAAGATATTTTACTGTTTTTTTTTATCCTATTGATAATTTATAATTAATTCCATGGACGTTATAAACACACAGGTATATACAATAAGAATGCACACATAGATAACACACGAAACAATAATACAAATACAGTACACAGATACATGCAATAACGATAAATAAATAAGAATAATCTAAAATTATGTAGATGGTCTCCAATGTTCTGTGCCTAAAATTAAGACCTCAAAGGTCTTAATCTTCCACTGGTTATTATATCAAATTTTAAATATGATTATATAACTCTATGCCTTGCAATTTTACAGGAGAAGTAAATTTTGGAAAATATATTATAGTATTATCTTCATAATTTGGACTTGTTCGGAATGAAAAATTTAATGTAATTTACATACAAATTGGCATATTTTAAATTTAAAAAATGTCTAAAATATAAGTAAAATACTGAAGCGTTGTGAGGGAGGAACCTTGTGTGCCTGTGTTTGTTCATATGTATATAATGCTTTTAGATATGTATTTTATTTATGTTTTCTTATGTTTAATAAGATTATTTGATAAGGTTCTGGAGTCCCGAAAATTTATTGAATGCAAAAGTAACATATACAGTCAAACCTCTAAATAATAGCCACATTTAAAAATGGCCGCTATTTAGAGTGTCCGTCATTGAGGTTCAACTATACATAAAATAACTTAAAATTTACATTATAAGTAGTAAAAAAATCAGTTTTTATTTGTTGTATTAATTTTGTTCACATATTTTTATTGCTGTAGGAGAGAGGTGAAACTCAATTTATAATTCCAATTCTACATAGGGCTATATGTATTAAAATAAATATAATGCAGCTGTATTGTGTATCTTTAGAAGGGTGGGGGTCTTATTTGTGTGTGCAGGTCCTGCATATAAATATAAATGTATATTTTATATTTATATACAGAACTAGAGACACGAATAAGATCCCACACGTCTCCTAAAAAAACATGAAGATAAAATTTTCTTTAACATTCTGTAGGATGTTTATAAATTTTACAGATGCAGTTGTGTTTTATTTAATTTTGAAGATGTTTGTGAGTAAAATATTTGACTGTTTACACTCATTTTGAAAAAATAATACACATAAAATTATTAATTTTCAAGCGTTTTTATTGGATCATATTTTATTATTTTTTTACATAGTTTGTATCAAAATATTATTATTATTTAAATTTAAATATATAATAGTTACTAAATATTAAAGCTGTGTAATATTAAAACACTAAAGCCATGTTATACAGAATTTTTTCTAAGTTAACCAAGCAGAAATCTAACTTTCCTGATGGTTTTTTGATGGTGTTTTTAAGCAGAATTTTCTAAAAATAAATAAAATGAGAATAAAAAAGTGAAGGTGTTAACCATTAAACGCCCGTATACAAAAAACAATTAAAAGAGTATATTCAACTCGAGCCAAGTAAGTTTCGTATAAACAAATATAACCTCATTTTTAATAATCTAATTTTAAATACACGATAAAGAACTGTATAATATAACACTTTATAGTATCTTAATGGTGTTTTTGTTATGTTAATTATTAATTATCTACGGTCCTATATTGAATACATTATCTACAGTTCGATTATAACATTATGTATCGACGTTTAAGTTAAATTACAATCGATCTTTTCGTGTATGACATCATTTAATGTCGATAATCAGCAGATAAATGGGGGTTTTAATAACGAAGTTAAACGAAATTAAGAGGAGGATTGGATAGGAATCGTATCACAATGATGACACATTTCCTTAAGAATCTAATTAACCTCTCGTGCAAAAGTTTTTCCTTAAAATCGACATCCTATTTCAGTTATTTGAAGTATATTTTCGCACCAGGAAAATATCCTTTAACGTGATAAAACTTTTAAAAAAGAAATCCCTTTCCGTTCATTGTCAAGTGCGATAGAAGATATATTTTTCATGTAATTCTGTTGTTAGAAAATCAATTTTTTTTTGTATATTTAAAATATTTACACAAGTAAATTAATTCGTATGCATTATCTAGTTCAGGAATGAGGATAAAATTTATTTCAGAGATCGTAAGGTTAAGGTTGAGGTCGAAAATGTTAGATAAAAAAAAACTAAGTTAGGGTCAGGTTGGTTTCGGGAGATAACGTGTTTTATTTATTTATTTTATTTTTTTTAACTCTATATTTTCGGAGCATTTACTTAATGATTCGAATTTAGTTTATTTCTTAAGTTTTTTATGTACTTTTTTTCTGTTTTTCCTTAAAAAGTGTCCTGAAAAACTCGCTACGTGAAGCGATTATTTTCGAAGCAGTGGGTTAAGAAATTTATATTTTCAAATAAAAATTGAAAGCAGTAAAAAAACTTTCTGTTGATTTTAATTTAAAATTATAAAA